TGATCTTGGCTCACTGCAGCCTCTCCCTCCCAGGTTAGAGCGATTCTCTTGCCTCAGCCTCCTGAGCAGATGGGACTACAGGCACCCACCACCATGCCAAGCTAATCTTTGTATTTTTCGTAGAGACAGGGTTTCACCATGTTGACCAGAATGGTCTTGAACTCCTGACCACAAGTGACCCACCCACCTCGGCCTCCCAAAGTGCTGGGATTACAGGTGTGAGCTACTGTGCCCGTGTGGAAGATGAATTTTATTGGGAAGTATGTGTTCTTCCAAACTGCTTGCAGTTTTATTTTTTAACCATAAACTAATATTGGTTATGTAATTAAAAATTTTGCATATTTGTTTAAAAATATGCCCTTAAATAAAAGTATTAGAATATAAACTAGGACAGAAATATTGTATGACAACAAATAGTGCGTTTGTTTGTTTGTTTGTTTGTTTTTTGTTTTTTTTTTTTTTTTGAGACGGAGTTTCGCTCTTGTTACCCAGGCTGGAGTGCAATGGCGCGATCTCGGCTCACCGCAACCTCTGCCTCCTGGGTTCAGGCAATTCTCCTGCCTCAGCCTCCTATGTAGCTGGGATTACAGGCATGTGCCACCATGCCCAGCTAATTTTTTGTAGTTTTAGTAGAGATGGGGTTTCACCATGTTGACCAGGATGGTCTCGATCTCTTGACCTTGTGATCCACCCGCCTCGGCCTCCCAAAGTGCTGGGATTACAGGCTTGAGCCACCGCGCCCGGCTGTTTGTTTGTTTTTTAAGACGGAGTCTCCTCTTGTTGCCCAGGCTGGGGTACAATGGCGTGATCTTGGCTCACTGCAACCTCTGCCTCCTGGATTCAAGCAATTCTCCTGTCTCAGCCTCCTGAGTAGTTGGAATTACAGGCGTGCACCACCATGCCTGGCTAATTTTTGTATTTTTAGTAGAGACAGGGTTTCGCCATGTTGGCCGGGCTGCTCTTGAACTCCTAACCTCATGTGATCCATCTGCCTTGGCCTCCCAAAGTGCTGGGATTGTAGGCGTGAACCATCGTGCCTGCCCTAAACAGTGATTTTACTTGGAGTTTTGCCATTAGAAGGAGGAAGAAACTTGACTTTTTCACTCACAGAGGATCTTCTATTTGTTTCTAGGAATTTTAGGGACTCACATACATAATAAATTTGGAAAGGTTCTGAGAAGTAATTTTAAAATTATCTATGGGCAGAACCACATTTAAATCTTTCTAGTGAGGCTGGGCACAATGGCTCATGCCTATAATCCCAGCACTTTGTGAGGCCAAGGCAGGAGGATTGCTTGAGTACAGGAGTCTCTACAAAAAAAATTTTAAGGAAGAGATTAGGTAGGTGTAATGGCCTGGACCTGTAGTCCCAGCTATGGGGGAGGCTGAGGCAGGAGGATCACTTGGGCCTGGGAGGTGAAGTTTGAAGTGACCCATGATGGCACCACTGCACTGCAGCTTGGGCAGCAGAGTAAGATCCTGTCTCAGAAAAATAAAAAATGTAAAAAAAAAAATCTCCCTAGAAAGAATGTCACAGACCACCTAGAAAAAAAGATCCTGGCCGGGTGTGGCGGCTCACACCTGTAATCCCAGCACTTGGGAGGCTGAGGCAGGTGGATCACTTGAGGTCAGGAGTTCAAGACCAGCCTGGCCAAAATGGTAAAACCCCATCTCTACTAAAAATACAAAAAAATTAGCCAGGCATGGTGGTGCACGCCTATAATCCCAGCTACTGGGGAGGGTGAGGCATGAGAATCACTTGAACCTGGGAGGTGGAGGTTGCAGTGAGCCGAGATGGCACCATTGCACTCTAGCCTGGGCAACAGAATGAGACTCTGTCTCAAAAAGAAAAAGAAAAAGAAAAAAAGAAAAGGAGATCCTGCATTCTTGCCGTTCTGGTCCTGGGATGGACCACTTTCTCCAGTTGTCTCCTTCTTCAGAAGGGGTGGTCACGGCAGCATCTACTGTAGCATAGGGTAGCAGCAACTGGAGCTCTATTGGATTCTTTACTGCCACATCTACCATTGGAATTCTGCTTTGATGTGGCATGAAAGTCACTGTGCATCACCTAACTCCTCTTTATATACATGTCATTATAATTTTTATTTTTACTCAAATTTTCACATGCAAATAGTTTCAAAATTCATAGTGGTAAAAGCCTTATAGAAATACTTAAAAAATAGTTTCTTGCCCTCTCCTCCCTTCTCTACTGCTCCGATTCCCCTCTGCATAGAAACTTTCAATTCTTTTTTTTTTTTTTTTGAGACGGAGTCTTGCTCTGTTACCAGGCTGGAGTGCAGTGGCGCAATTTCGGCTCACTGCAACCTCCGCCTCCTGGGTTCAAGCAATTCTTCCGCCTCAGCCTCCCAAGTAGCTGGGACTACAGGCGCGTGCCACCACACCAGGCCAAGAAACTTTCAAAGAACTCCTGACCTCGTGATCCGCCCACCTCGGCCTCCCAAAGTGCTGGGATTACAGGCATGAGCCACCACGCCCAGCCAAGAAACTTTCAATTCTTTTAACTGTTTCTTCTGAAATTTACTTTTATATTACTAAATACTATAGAAAACTGGTACTTTTGTTCAGTAATTAATGCAATCAGTTGATTTTCTATTATGTTTAGGTGAAGATTCCCCTCCTCCAATTACAATTATATTTCTTTTATTTGGTGGTGTCAAATCACTATTCATTGCTCTATGTTTTTGTTGCTAAGACTACAAAAATATTGCATTTTTAAAACAAATAGTCTACAGCGATTATATTTTTTTTTCTTTTTTTTTCTTTTGAGACAGAGTCTCCTTTTGTAACCCAAGCTGGAGTGCAGTGGTGCAATCTCAGCTTGCTGCGACCCCTGCCTCCTGGATTCAAGTGATCTCCTGCCTCAGCTTCCGGAGTAGCTGGGATTGCACACATGTGCCACCAGTCCTAGCTAATTTTTGTGTTTTTAGTAGAGATGGGGTTTCACCATGTTGGCTAGGCTGGTCTCAAACTCCTGACCCCAAGTGATTCACCTGCCTCTCAGCCTTCCAAAGTGCTGGGATTACAGGTGTGAGCCACTGTGCCTGGCCTCATGATGAGAGCCTTCTCCAAAAGCGTTGGTTGGCTTTTCTTGTTGAAAGCTGAACTGACTGGAGGCTCTGTGTGTATCTGAGAGGCTCATAGACAGGTCTGCATTCTTGAAGAGCAATAAAATGACCAGCTTGACATGTTTTTAAAGGAGCTTTATTAAGATACCACTCACATACCACACAATTCACCCATTTAAAATGTACAATTCAATGGCTTTTCGCATATTCACAGAATTGTGCATCCAAAACCACTATTAACTTTAGAACATTTTTATTAAAATAAAAAACCTCATCCCTTAGCCTTTACCTTCCAATCCCTTCCATCCCATGTTCCTCAACCCTAGGCAACAACTAGTCTACTTTTTCTTCGTATAGATTTGTCTTTTCTGGATATGTCACCTAAATGGAATTGTGCAGTATGTGGTATTTCGTAACTGGCTTCTTTTACTTAGCATGTTTTCAAGGTTCATTCACGCCGTAGCATGTATCAGTGCTTCATTTCTTTATATTGCTAAATAATATGTTGTATGGGCATACCAATTTTATTTTTCCATCTACCCATTCATGGGTGTTTACGTTGTTTCCACTTTCTAGCTATTACTAATAATGTTGTTATAAATATTTGTGTATAGGCATGTGTTTTCACTTCTCTTTGGTGTATACCTAGGAGTGGAATTGTCACATCATATGGAAATTACATGTTTAACTGTTAAAAAAATGCCAGATTGTTTTCCAAAGTGGATGCACCATCTTACAGTCCCACCAGCAGTGTATGGGGTTCTCAGTTCTCCACATCCTTTGCGCACTTGTTATAAAAATAACAGCTATGTCTTAACAGTTACGTCTTTTTGATCAGAACCATTCTAGTGAAGTCTATCTCACTATGGTTTTGATTTGCATTTTTCTGATGGCTTAGCCTTTTGCTGTAAGCCTCCCAACTGTAAGTATCTATCGATCTTTTTTTCTGAGGCAATTCCATTTTTCTGTCTGAAAGGTATCTCCCAGTTATAGCTAGCAGGAAGAAAGAGGTGGGTGTGAGAGAGTTATCTCTGTTCAATACGCTGATTTTCCCTTAGTTTCCTGCACTACAAATACCACTATCTTCCTCTGTGTCTAGTGGTTCTAAATCTAAAGATTCTCTTGTTCTCCAGTAAATAGAATTCTTGCCTTTTGGAGGAGTGAGGGAAGATGGTCACCTGTCTGAATATGTGGGAACCTGAATATCTAACTTCTTCTTTAGGTATTTAACAATCTCCTTGTTTTTGGCTCCTACCTCACCAAAACTAGCTATATGCCATCTTCAATGGTATTTGGAGTCTCAATTTCTTAAACTGTTTAAGGCAAGTCTATCTGATTGTTTAAAGGTTTAAACATTTTATTAAGAAATATTTCAAATATTCACAAACATATCTGGAATAAATAGAACAGAAAACCTTGTATTCATCATGCAGAATCAGCATATTTCCACATTTGTGATATGTATATGATTTCCCTCACACTTGCTTTTTTTTTTTGCATTTTCCATTCACCCAACCCCCAGCTCAGGCACTTGGATTAGACCAATTCTCCATCTACTTTCTGTTTTGTTGGGGGTTACTAATCAAGCTTCTTCTTTTTTTTTTTTTTTTTTTTTTGGAGATGGACTCTCACTCTGTTGCCCAGGCTGGAGTGCAGTCATGCCATCTCGGCTCACTGAAATCTCTGCCTCCCGGGTTCAAATGATTCTCCTGCCTTAGCCTCCTGAGTAGCTGGGATTATAGGCACACACCACCATTCCCGGCTAATTTTTGTGTTTTTAGTAGAGACAGGGTTTCACCACATTGGTCAGGCAGGTCTCGAACTCCTAACCTCAAGCAATCCACCCGCCTCAGCCTCCCAAAGTGCTGGGATTATAGGCGTGAGCCATGGCACCCAGCCACTCTTCTTTTTTTAAGGTTGGAGGAACAAGTTTCTCTTTGTTCTAATATTTTCAGTGTTTTTCTGAGAAAAAAAAAAGAATAAAAACACAGCTTTATTCTGCTCTTTTGAACCCAAGCTTCTCCAAATTATTATGGTAGCATTCTTATTAAGTACTTGCTTCTCTCTTATTCTTAAATTGCTTTATTCATCTTCATTAGTAATTGGTAATGCCCCACCCCCTTTAAATTATTGACTTATTATTGTCATTGTACTGTCTCCTACTCCCTTTGAGCTTGGCTTTGTTTATTCATGTGGTAATTTGCAATTTGAAATGATATCCAACTTGGGAAAATTTTGCAGCATTTTTAAAAAAGCGTATTTGGAAAAGTTTCTTCAACTGTTGCCCAAATTATTTATAAAAGGCAGAGGATGTTTTAATCACAAAAGTTTAATCTCAATTGATAAAATTGCCTTGGGAAGAAATTAATTTAATCTAAAGAAAATTTAAATAGAAAGCAAGATTTAAATAATTCATTATCGTTACCATTCTTGTGAGTGTAAAATAGAAGGAAATAGTAAAGGAATTTAGTGTTATACAACATGAGGAACAGGAAAATAACAGCCCTAGTGAGTGTCACTTCCCAAAAATGAAAGACTGGCACACAAGTCTTTGTTTTGGAAGGCTGTGGCAGTTTTCCATCCTAAATGAGATTGGTCACTGGACACAATCCACATATGATTATGAAGAATCCTTTGGCTTCTCCACTTACCAGAATTCTATCCAGGTCGCGTCTCAGAAATGGAATACAAATGACTTCCTAAAATTCTAATAGCATTTCTTCAAATTCCAATTACGTTTCCAAGTTTATGTTCTCCACCTACATAAGGATAATCTGACTGAGAAGCCCTACCCAAAGCCTTCTTTGAATAGATAATGGTAATCCTCCTGGCAGGGGGTGGGGTGAAGAGGTTGTTTCATGTAAGGAGATTTTAGTATAATCCTGAGGATTTTCATATGGGATCCTATGGTTCTGTCAATACCACAAGTTTTTCAAAAGCAGAAAAGCAAATTTGGTTAACTTAGAAATGTATCTTTAGTAAAGATTACTAATTTCTCCTTACCCCCAGCTCCTACTCTAAAAGAAAAAAGGATTATGCTGGAAATGTCAGTCACTTTTTGCTATCAGGGAAAACTCCTTTGAAAATTGTGTGCTGATGCTCTCTGGGAGCTCTTCTGGAGCTTACTTCACATGTTTATCAAACATGGGGTTGGGAGTAGATGGGCACTTCCACTTTGGATGTCCCATGCATCTAGAAAACCTCGTTCATACTCAAGGATACTTGTCTGGGTAAATGAAGGAGAGAAGGAAGCTACAGGGTATTTTAAATATATACCTTTGCATTAAAAACCCCCACAAAACAAAAAACTTCGAAACAAAAAACCAACTCGTTTAGTTATAGCATATCACCAGGGTATGGATATGCATTTCTTTGAGGTCCTATTTCCATCAAAATTATCTCCATTGTTAAAGGCATTCAAATAGATGAGAAGTATACTGACTAGCCCATTACTTGTGCCTTATTTTATCTGAATCTCTCTCGGCCCCTCTCTTTTTTCTTTCACCTAGTCGCTCTCTTTCTATCTCTCTGTCTCTATCTCTGACACATATAGACCACTCTGTGCCCACAGTTTTTTGTTTTCTTTGTTTAATTTAGAAAAGGAGCCAAGTAGAGAAAAAGCAGCATAGATTAATGGAAAAAACAATGAACTAATGTTCAGCCCAGCTCCAGCCAGTTGTGATGTCTTAAACTAAGTTATCTTAGTTTCTTCTCCCTCCGTCCCCTCCCTTGCAAAGTGGGAGATCATAACTAATGAGTTTATCTTACAGGTTGCTGTGGACCTGCAGTGAGTTAAATCTGTCTTTGAACACTGTATGAAGGGCTACACCACTGTCAGGGTGCACCAGTTTACATGGGAAGCAGTTGTTAGTCCTGTACTGATTTAATAATCCATTATACCATACACAGGAATTTTAGGGTGACTCTTCCATTAAAAAGCATTAGTTCAGTGCTTAACTGCCCATCATAGAGATGGAGATGGCTAACTGTCCACATTTTAAAGGGAATTGGTTTCTAGTTGTAGCTTTTATTCTGTTAAGAATTATTTACGAGAAAGAGACCAGTCTTGGTACCACTAAAACTGGGTAAGATGAATTTTTGATGTAGACTAAAGCGTGCTAATACCAGTTCAGTATTCAGCAGGGACTGAAGTTTCAACAGCTTAGAACTGTGGTCTCAGAGGCCACCTACTTCAACCTTATGTCCTGGGTATCTGCCACCCTCTGACAAAGAATCCTTGCTGGCTTTATTCAGCCCCTTCCTGATTAAAAAAAAATTTCCACTACCTTGAGGCAGCTCTTCAGAATTTTGGGCAGTTTCTGACAAATCACGTTAAGGAAGAACTTCCTGTGTGCATCCATTGGTTGAATTTTCATCCATTGACTGTACTTGCTGACTGGGTACACAGAATAAGCCTGTTTGATGACTGAAGTTAAGCTCCCTGGAGAACTCTCTTTTCCCAATGAAATGGCCCTAGATTCTACAATTCTTCCCTGATTGCTGTGGTTACTCTCTTCTTTCCAGGTGCTGCTTTGTTTAGATTCCTTTAAAAGTACTACGCCGCTAAGAAATCCCTCTAGGCCCTCATAGAGGTCTGACCAACATGGTCACTTTCATCATACTTGACCCTTTTCCTCTTCTTGCAGCCTAAGCTGGCATAAGCTTTTTGACAGCATTAAATCCTTTCCTTTCAGTGATTGCCTTGGCACAGGTAGCATGCTGTTACTCTGCTGGAGTGAAAGCATAAGATGCAGAAGAGGTTGATAGGACCTGGGCACCTTTACAGATTTACAGGCTAAGGCCTGGATGGAGGAAAAGACAAAGACAGGGATGTGAAGCTGCAAAGGTGGATTGGGCTGGAGGATGGTTGGGAAGGGAAGGTTTGGAACCTAGAGACAATATCTTTGACATTGACTCTCCGACACTTCAATAAAAGAATGGGAAGTCCGAGCCTTTCCCTGTGGTCCTTTGACTCCTAAGCCTTTTAAGCTTTCAAAAAGGCAAGTTAACTTGGAGCTGGAAAGTGAACAGCTTTACTCACCAGTAGTTTGTTGAAGTAACTTCTTTTGTTCATTCATCTATTGATAGACAGACAGATAGAAGATAGATAGATAGATTGATAGAGAGATAGGATAGATGATAAATGGATAGATAGATATAGTGTGTGTGTGTATATATATATATTTAATGGGGAAGTTGGAAAATTAGATTAGATACTGTGTCTTATTCAATGGCAGCTGCTCACTACACAAAGTATGGAATACTTTGAGGAAATAAAAGTTGTTTAGAAAAATCCAGATGTCAGGGCTGGGTGCCGTGGCTTATGCCTGTAATTCCAACACTTTGAGAGGCTAAGGCAGGCAGATCACGAAGTCAGGAGATCGAGACCATCCTGGCCAACATGGTGAAATCCCATCTTTACTAAAATACAAACGATTAGCCGGGTGTGGTGGCACATGCCTGTAGTCCCAGCTACACAGGAGGCTGAGGCAGGGGAATCCCTTGAACCTGGGAAGCCGAGATTGCAGTGAGCTGAGATCTCACCACTGCACTTCAGCCTGGTGACAGACTGAGACTTCATCTAAAAAAAAAAAAAAAGAAAAATCCAGATGTCATTGCTTTGTATGCTGTGGTGATGTGGTAGCCAGCTCCAAGAAGATGGCCTCCAATGAGTCTTATCTCTGGTATTCATATCCTTGAGGCTGATCTAAGTAACTGATAGGATATGATGGAAATGATGGAGTGTGCTATGGTCTGAATGTTTGTGTCCTTCTTAAATTAATATGTTGAAATCTTCACCTTCAAAGTGATCATATTAAGAGATGAGGCCTTTGGGAGGTGAGTAGGTCTTGAAAGCGGAGCTCTTCTAAATGGGATTAGAGCCTTTGTAAAAAAGGCCTGATAGAGCTTGTTAGTCCCTTACACCATGGGAAGATGCAGCAAGAAGGCTCCATTCATGAGGAATGGGGCTCTTACCAGGCACTGAATCTCTCAGTAATTTTTTAAAAGAATATTTTTATTCTCATTACTGTTAGATCACATCTGATGGTGTTTTGATCTTGGACTGCTTAGTCTCTAGAACTGTGAGTAATATATCTCTGCTGTTTAGAAATCACCCAGTCTAAGGTATTTTGTTATAGCAGCCCAAACAGACTATGACAGAGTGTCACTTGAGACTAAGTGATGAAAGGCATTGTGGTGTCTTCTGTCTTGCCCTCTTGAATCACTTGCTCTGGTGGACATCAGCCACTACATTATAAAGACACTCAAGAAGCCCTATAGAAAGGTCTTCATGATGAGAAATTGAAGCTTCCTGATAATAGCCAGCATCAACATACTAGCTATGTGAATGATCCATGCTGAAAGAGCTTCCCTTAGTCCCACTGAAGCCTTCAGATGACTGCAACCCTGGTAGACTTCTTGACTATAACATCTTAATGCCCTGAGCCAGAACCACCTAACTAAGCCACTCCTGAATTCCTGACACACAGAAACTGAGATAATTTTTATAGCTGTTTAAGCTACTAAGCTAATAAGTTTTAAACTATTAAGCTTTGAGGAATTTTTTATCCAGCAATACTGAAGATGGGTAGAAATGAGGAATGAAGAGTAAAGAACCTTCATTCATTGTTCACATATGTTCATTTGCTAAGCACTTGCTACTTAGGTTAAGGGGTAGAACAAGCACTAGGTTCACTGCTGCTTTTGGACACAGCTGACAACCAAATAGGACTGTCACACAGAATGTTAAGAAAAAATGACACATCCTCTTTCCTCCTCCTCCTCCTCCTCCTCCTCCTCCTCCTCCCCCCCCCTTCCTCCTCCTTGCATTTAGAGAAGGGCTAGGATAACATTGAGAACTCACACAAATTTTGTTTTTGACTCCTCAGTGTCCCCGGGGAAAAGGTGCATTGGCCTTTGTCCATTTGCTATCAGGTTGTGTGTCTTTGAGAGCAGGAGTTGGATCTTATTTATTTCTATCCCATTTCCTAGCAAGTGAACATATATGAACAATAAATGTTATCAAGGGAGAGGGCAAATTTGCCTCCCTCTTTCTCCTGAATTCTGCAGAGATTCTTAGAATGGTTACCATTTTATGGAATTCCATTCCCTTCCATGGAAACCATTCTTAGAATGTTTTCTTATCAGCCGGGCATGGTGGGTCATGCCTGTAATCCCAGCACTTTGGGAGGCTGAGGTAGGCGGATCACGAGGTCAGGAGTTCAAGACCAGCCTGACCAACATGGTGAAACCCCATCCCTACTAAAAATGCAAAAAAATTAGCCAGGTGTGATGGTGTGTTCCTGTAATCCCAGCTACTCGGGAGGCTGAGGCAGGGGAATTGCTTGAATCAGGGAGGTAGAGGTTGCAGTGAGCTGAGATCATGCCACTGTACTCCAGCCTGGGCAACAGAGCAAGACTCTGTCTCAAAAAAAAAAAAAAAAAAAAAAAAAAAAAAAAAAAAAAAAAAAAAAAAAAAAAAAAGAAAAAGAAAAAGAAAAAGAAAAAGAATGGTTTCTTATCGCAACATTCCATTCACAGTCCCTCAATGAAGTCTTGAAAATATCATACATGCCATGAGCCATTTTCACTATTAAATAACTTCCATCGCTCTGTTAAGTTCCTGGCTTTTAGGACACCCCTGCTTTTAGGATCGATTGACTCTTCTATCCCATCTTCTCTATGCAATGTTGCTCTAACTGTTGTTCAAGATCCCAGGATGCTTGATCCAGGAAAGCACAGAGGTCTGCTGCCAGCATACCAACACACCTGTCTGTCAAGTTGTCTAAAATCGTAATAGAAAGAGCCCTGGGGAGCTAGGAGACCTG